GGGCGAACAGCGCCCATCTCAACAACAAGCAAACCGAGGAGCAAAAGCTATCACATGGGCGTGAGACTGATTAGCTTCACTCACTCCACGGCACTATCACGCTGCGTAATCCGCCATTTGGATCCACCCGAGACGGCGGATCACCGCGGTCAGGAGATCGCAGACCATCCTGGCTAACAAGGGTGAAACCCGCTCTCTCACATCAAAAAACAACACTAGCTGGGGCTGGCGCGCCTCTAGTCCCGTCTACATCGGCGCCAGGCTGAGCAGGATAATGGCGTGAACCCGGGAGGGCGGAGCTTGCAGTGAGACTGAGATCCGGCCACTGCACTCCAGCCTGGGCAGCAGAGCGAGACTCCCGTCTCAAAAAAAAAAAAAAAAAAAAAAGAATACAATTCAAATTCCACAAAATCTGCCTTCCTATCTTAACTGCACGCATCTTCCTCCCACTCCCTCCTTTTTGCATCTTTTTTCCTCCAGCTACCCCACAATGGTGTGGGTAACCCCTACTACCTGTTGTCTTAACTACTCTCTTCTCACACTGCACCTTCTGTTTCTCAAACAACCCAAATTCACTCATGCCTCAGGGCCTTTGCAGGTGCTGGTATCTCTATCTGCCATGCCCTTAACCTTCTGTGCTTCACTTGCCTGGCTCCTTCTCATCATTCACATCTCAGCTCAAATATCCCCTCCTCGGATAAGCTCTCTGACTGCTCTAAAGTAGCTTCCTCTATACCCCTCTCAATCACACCTCCATAATGTACTGTCTTTGTGACACTCATTCTATCTGAAATACAGTTTCATGTACTTGTATCTTATTTATTGACTCTGTCCCCATAAAACGTATGCTCTGTAAGAGCAGGGGCTCTGCTGTGTCCAACAGGGGACACAGCAAAGCCCCTGTGTCCCCCCGCCCCCTGCTCCCCTGCCACAAGAACACTTCTTGTTACATGGTGGACACTCAGTAAATGTAGGTTGACCATTAGGGAAGTCCCACCTCAATGATCACATGGAATATCACCTAAAGTCCTCTGAAAAAAACACTTTCTGCTCCCTTGTTGGCCCCATCTTTCAGCATAGTGACTCTGACCCACAGCCATAAGAACTCCAGGCCTGTTTCCACAACGTGTGGAAGGTGAGAATAACCCTGCCGCCTCTGGAGGAATCTCCAGCTTTCTTGCCATCTCCTCATCTGGGGGCCTTGTTCTTATCATCTCCTAAAGATCTTTCCATTCCCAACCAAATAAAAAGTAAATCAATGTTTAAAACATCTTTCAAAGTCCAGCATTAAATACACTGTAAAGTATGCAATGATGCTATCTGTATACTTTGTCTTAGGCCAAGCATATAAGAAGGGGAAAAAGAAAATGGGGGAGAAGGTAACTTTTCACTCAGCTTTTCAATGTTTTTAAGAAAATCTCCTATGGGCTAGGTGCTTTCCTTTCCCTCCTTCTCAGTGGTCAAGGAAGAGGAAAGCCCCTGGTCAGATACGAAAGTTTGTGGCAGTAAAAAGGTAAACTGGACAATCCCCCCAGATGACCAAAATCTCTCCAAGAAAAAGAAACATGGACACAAGGAAGAAAACCAGGTCTTACTGATCCTGTTATCTTTTACTTTCACAACCTCACTGCCAGAATCTCAGCACTTCTTAGCCTGATTATGGGACAGTGAAGTTCCTGACCAAGTCTGAGACACTGCAGCTAATTCAGTACTGAGGTGTCACCATCAGGGGAAAGAACTCCAGCTACCCCACAATGGTGTGGGTAACCCCTAAGGGTTAAATTGGAAACTGTGATGTGTGACGTGTGCCATTATCCATCACAGTTGGGACAGACAGGAGAGAATGTTTCATTTCAACTGTGAGGGTGGGGATGTAACCCTGGGAAAATGTCTTCCAGGTAACATGTAGCTTGAGGTGTATTCAGAAAGGAAAGGACTTTTGGAATATGCCCATTGAAGACAGCATAAACTCCTAGATTTCGCCAGACCCTGCTCACCTAACTGGCACATCAGAGATGTGCAGAAGATAGAAGGTACCTGGCTGGTCAAAGTCTAAAGTTGTCACAAGGAAGGCAAAATACACAGACCACCTATTCAAGAAGCCCAGCCTGGGGATAACTAGAAAGGTACATTCAGACTAAGGTATATATAAATTGAGGATATGCCAGGCAAAGGAGAAAGATATGCACAGGAAATGGAAGAATGTGTGCATAATGTATACTACAGAGGATTCCTGCGATGGTGTAGGCAGAGGTAGAGTCAGACCTTTATGTGAGCCACTGCAACTCAACCTAAGGCAATCTTGGTTTTTTAAGCTATAAATGTGGCTAAAAATTCCTTTCTTGCAGGAGTTTTGTCAGGAAGATTAAATAAAATAGCATATGAAAACACACCGAAAATCAGAGTGGGTGCCAAATAGGAGTTCCATGCTTCCTTCACCTGCTCAATAAGCATCACCTAAAATGCAGGCTAAACAGATCTCTGGTCCCCAAACCTGGATGGAAGCACAATTTCCATGGAAGCCATCTGGCAGTTTGCGTGGTTAGCAGATGATGCTTATCAGGGAAATGTGGGAAACATGGCATTATTCACTTCTTCTCCCATAAGGTTCCACATGATGCGGAACACAGAAATGTCTCCAACAGAAGAAAACAGCTGTGAAATCCAGTCCTCTGCCACTGAATAAGAACACCTACAATTTACAATTTCACAGGAGACAGACTGATGTTTTTAAACGGTATGTCTCTTAATGGTATTCTTCTGGCAATGCTGTCTATTCTTGAGCCTCAAAGGTTTTTTATTTTTTTTTTTTTAATTGATTTAGGGCATAAGAACAAACTATCTCCAACAAATCTGCTGAAATGTAGTCAAAATTGCAGTCCCATTTTACCGCACCATGTAAACAACATATGGTGCTATCTGGGACTTGAGGAACTATAGTAAAAATACAGTTCACATCACAAGGAATGAAGATCTCCCCTCTCGGTCTACATGACCACGAGAACAACTTAGGAAACCAGACCAAGGCAACACTTTCTAGAAAAATTCTCTTCTTATAAGCAAAGTTGCCATTATCTAAAAAGCCTCTGTGGAATTTGGCGTTACTCAGAGACAATAAACTAAATAACATCTTTTTTCGCAGATCTTGGTATGAAAAGCGTTCTTAGTGAAACAAAAAAGCAGCAACAACCAACTTGCAAAAGTCAAATCGGCATGCTTTCAAACGGAAAATGACCTGGCAGCCTAAGCAGATTTTCCCAAATATTTAACATCTCCCTGTAAATAAAAAGACAGCTTTATGGTCTGCAGCTAGGTGAGGAAGATTGAGGACCGGAAAGTCAAACATTCGGGCTAGCCTAAAAGAGGTGGCCCCTGGAGACCTGAAGAGTTATGAGGCTCAAAGGTCAGCGTGGACACCAGACCACAGAGCACGAGGAGCTTCCAGCAGAGCTGCAGTTTCCTTAACTATCCACCCACTCATAGCACCCAGCTGGTCCTCGTAAGGCAAATGGGACTTGCGAGTTTAGAATCGGTGTGATTTCGGATACACTAGCAGTCACCATGTTATTTTCATCCCTACCCCCACACAGTGTTTTTAAACATCATCTTTCAACGGCAACCTCTTCTCCCCCGCCTGCTCCTCCCCAGCGCCCCCGCCAACCCCCGCTGCTGAAAATCCCACAGAAGGTGCTTTGGGTTTGTTTTTGGTTTCTGGGCTGTCGCTTTTCATAGGTTTTCTTTTAAGCCAAAAGAACAGCACACAAGAAAGACGCTTGAGATTACTGGGATCTCCGGAACCGGCGGCCGCAAAATGACAAGTTGCTTCGCCCTTATCTTGAAAATTAACAGCAGCCCAAACACTGCAATTTACTCACCGTCCTCCTTTCTCCTAAGCTGCCTTGCTGCTTGTTTTGTTAGGTCTAGTTCTACTGTGGAGGGAAGAAGGGTTTCTCGAAAAACTTTATACGGTAAGAGACCAGAACCTTCCAGACCCCGCAACCCTCCTCGCGTACAGACCCTTTTACAAGAAAACAATAGTGAACGAGGAGCTGGACACTCCTCTTGGCTTCCCAATTGCACAACCCCGCCGGCGATTCGACAAAAGAGGGTCCCAGAGCAGATTATCTCGGCCCCCACGGCTCCTGGGCTTACCCGCGAGGCTGCGCGCCCCTCCCGCCCTTCACTGGGGCTCCAGGATTCCCGGGCGCCCTCTCGGCGGTGGCTGCGGCGCACCTCGGGTGGCTCGCGGGTCCCAGCGCTCATAGCCCCTTTACGCCTCCGCACGCCACCTCCTTGGTGCTGGCAGGGTATGTGGAGGGGTAAACAGCGCTCCGTGTCCCCACCCCCAACCCTGAGCCTCAGAGGCTGCAAAGCCGGAGGGTCTGGGCAGCACAGACCCCAGGCCGCCCGGACCCCGGCCCAGGACGCGGTCTCCCCGCACCCCAAATCTCCCTCACCCGGGCAATGCAAACCCGCAGCGAAGCCGGCCGGCGAAAGTGACCCGCCAAGGCCCAGGAGCGACGACGCAGAGGCGCGCCGGGCTCCGCGACCTGGGGGGCCGCTGCTCTCAGCCCGTCCGCGCCGCTCACTCCAGCCGGCTGCTGCCTCTCTCGCGGCGCCTGCCGCATCGGGCCGCAGAAGCCTGAGGCCGGCGGAAACCAGAGGAAGGTGGCGCGGGCCAGGGGCGGCGCGGGCACGATTCCTTCCCCCCGGATCCGGCGGGGGAGCAGAGGAGGGAGCAGCGCTGCCGGGACTCTCAGGCTCCCGCCAGCCAGGATCCCGGGCGACTGCGCTGAGCGCCTCCGGAGTCGCGGGAAGCTCCTCCTGCTCCGCGGCTGGCGCCAGTTGCACGGTGGCCGCGGCCGCCCCCAAATTCGAGGAGGAAGGTGCAAAGTGGTGGGAGGTTGCGGGGCTCGCTATTCCAGGGGAGGTAGGGGGGCGAGGCGGGAGCGCAGCCAAATCCCTACCTTTCGGGCGGGGCGGACACCAGCCGCGCGCCCTCGCCGGGCGCCGGGACCGGAAAATCACCGCGAAGGGAGGGACGAGGAAAGGCGGCGGGTGGCTTCAGGACAAGGTAGGAGGATCGATTTCCACAGCCAAGAAGACACTCCCATCCCGCCCTGGTTTGTTTGGAAAGCTGCAGGAGCTAAAGTGAGGGGTGGCGGGTACTCCCCTTCCCCGCCCGGCTGGCAGGCGGCAGAAGTAAATACTGAGGCGTGTCGCGCCGCGGACTGACTGTGACACAAGGCTCAGCAGAAGGTTTGGTCCCTATCAGAAGGGGCGGAGTGTTCAGAGAGCTCCTTAATTCCGTGGCTCTGCCCTTCAAGGGCAAATGTGTTCGTACTTTTTATCTTTTGAAGGAGATAATTAGGGAGAACCAAGGTGGAACGTGCTTTTTGCCTTTTCTTTTCTCTCCATAGGAAAAACCCTACGTTATTTATGTCCTCTTACTTGGATGGCTCTGACTACTTTTTATAATGTGTTTGTCAAATAATTCCTTGTCTAGAAACATTCAGGTCATAGCTCCAACCTTTGGGCCCTGAGCAGTGTAATCACGTGTGATCAAATGACCCCAGAGAGAAGACCCACGGACTTGGATGTAATTCAAAGTTGGCAACGTGTCACGCACTGGAACAAAGTCCTTCATCTGTGATGAGTTTTCTGGTATTTGTCTTTTTTTTTTTTTTTTTTTTGAGACAGAATCTCGCTTTGTCACCCAGGCTGGGGTACAGTAGCATGATGTTGGCTCACTGCAAACTCCGCCTTCCGAGCTCAAGAGATTCTCCTGCCTCAGCCTCCCGGGAAGCTGGGATTACAGGCGCGCCCCACCACGCCCAGCTAGTTTTTGTATTTTTAGTAGAGATGAGGTTTCACTGTGTTGGCCAGGCTGATTTCAAACTCCTGACCTCAAATGATCCACTCGCCTCCACCTCCCAAAGTGCTCTGGTATTTGTCTTCATTGTAACAACAGCCCTAGGAGGTACCATTTGTTATTTTCCCAATCTTACTTAAAAAAAAAAAAACAACAACAAAACAAAACAAAACTGGCGGGGCGTGGTGGCTCACACCTGTAATCCCAGCACTTTTGGGAGGCTGAGGCGGGCGGATCACGAGGTCAGGAGTTCCAGATCAGCCTGACCAACATGGTGAAACCCCGTCTCTCCTTAAAATACAAAAATTAGCCAGGCGTGGTGCTGCGCACCTGTAATCTCAGCTACTCAGGAAGCTGAGGCAGAAGAATCACTTGAACTCGGGGAGGCGGCAGTCGTAGTGCGCTGAGATGGCGCCATTGCGCTCCAGCTTGGGCGACAGAGCGAGATTCTGTCTAAAAAAAATCTCAGCAGGTTCAGATTATTCATATTCTTTGCCCTTTCTACAGATTGCCTTTGACATAACCCACACAGATTTTGTAATTTTAAACGTGGCTCTTGAGACATCAGGATAGTGAAAGACTTTGGGGGAAATTATCTGAACTGGCTGGTATTGAGGTTTACTTTGCTCTTTTAATTTCTCCTGGATTCTTCATTGACCTCTTCTTCATGATCTTAAAAACCAAAACTGGGCCAGGCGCGGTGGCTCACGCCTGTAATCTCAGCACTTTGGGAGGCCAAGGCGGGCGGATCATGAGGTCAGGAGATCCAGACCATCCTGGCTAACATGGTGAAACCCCGTCTCTACTAAAAAATACAAAAAAAATTAGCCAGGCGAGGTGGCGGGCGCCTGTAGTCCCAGCTACTCAGGAGACTGAGGCAGGAGAATGGCGGGAACCCGGGAGGCGGAGCTTGCAGTGAGCTGAGATCGCGCCACTGCACTCCAGCCTGGGTGACAGAGCGAGACTCCATCTCAAAAAAAAAAACCAAAACTGTATTTCACCTCATCCACTCTGGCCTTCTGGACTTTTTGAATCTGCAAAGTAATGTGCAAAGGAGAGAGGCTATCTGCTGTTCTGAGGTGATGTTTGTGTTTCCTATGTGGTAGTGGCCAGTAGTGACTACTGTTGACCCCAACCTAGTTCAAAAGCTGCCTCTTCTGCTGACCTGCTGTGTGACTTTGAGCAAGTGGCATCACCACAGTGGGCTTCTTTTGTGTCAGGTGTAAAGTGAGATAATATAGCTTTTCTTGAAGGGCGATTAGGATTAAAGCAGTCTCTGTTGTAAAGAAGGTTTGGCACAGTGCTTGCCCCCAAAACCATCAATTCAGGAAGTAAAATGTTGACTTTAAAAATAACACTAAAAATATTAACTACCAGACATTGCCCACCATGAGTCAGCCACCCACCATGCATTGTACCTTTTCCTCTCACTCACCCTGCAAGCTAGTCATGGCAGAAAGGAAGGAACAGAGTCAGGTGGTCTAGGGCTGTACTGCCTACATGGGAGCTGTGACTCAAAGGAAAGCACCCGAGGCCAAAATCATTGTTCTTTCTGAGATATAACCGCTCTGTAACTCTCTGTGATGGGAGGGGCTTTTGATCTGTGTAACATTAATTTTTAAAAATTCAAGATATATTATTATATGGGCACATGATTGCTATTATGTAAATATTTTATATTCCTGTGGAAACTGACAAAGTCTTAAGTAGGGTGATGTAATTGTAAGTCTTTAGTCCTCTCTGGGTTAGTGTTTTTGGTCATTGTTTTGGAGAAATGCTTTCCCAATATATGTATATTTAATTCAGCCTTTTGGTAGAAGATTTCTTCTACTAAGCTGGGAGGGGAAAAGCCACAAAGGAGGGGAGGACTCTTGGGACATGCAAGGTCTTTGAAAGGTCCCTAAAATTATAATTTTCAGGCAGTGTACATATAGGGCTGGCCCTGTTTTGCTGGGTTTGTTTTTTTATTATGGTGGTGCAGTCCCTTTGAAATAAATGCTGTTGTTTCATAGACTGTGGCCTCTGCACACCAGTGACAGGTGAAGGCCAGGTTCCCCCACATTACCATGGGAGGCCATTCAGCACTAAATGTGTACTCTAGAATACACCGAAGTATTTCTTCCTCATCCCCATCGTAGGGCCTGCCTTCTAAATTCTCCTGTTCTGTGCCAAGTACAGCCTTTTCTACCATAATTGATGGCAAGAATGTCTACTCCTTGTAGGAAAGACCTACTCATAAGGGTGTTCTCTCAGCAAGACAATCAGATCAGATCACAGTAGGTGAACCCCAGGACTGGAGCTACCTATGAAGTGACACAAGGCCACTTTCTGATAACATCCTCTTAGAATAATTTTTAAAACTTTAAAAAAATTTTTTTTTCCTTTACAGTACATGATGTTCAAAAGGTTTCTTTTTAAAAACAGTTTTCAAGGTCGAGTTCAATGTTTTTTTTTAATTTGACACATTGGTCAGAGAACATCGAGTTCAATTTTAAACACTATCTGACTCATGACCGAGCTTGACCAAGCTAATGGTTTTTAGATACAATCCTTGCTCCAACTCAAGGAGAAAATCCTGCCAGTGCAGTCTTCTGTCTTGGAGTTTTATCTCCTATAAGCAATTATTTAAAGAACATGTGCATCTCAAAGAGAATAAGCCACAGTGGACCAGGCACAGTGGCTCAAGCCTGTAATCCCAGCACTTTGGGAGGCTGAGGTGGGTGGATCACGAGGTCACGAGTTCGAGACCAGCCTGACCAACATGGTGAAACCCTGGCTCTACTAAAAATACAAAAAATTAGCCGGGCGTGGTGGCGCACACCTGTAATCCCAGCTACTCAGGAGGCTGAGACAGAAGAATCGCTTGAGGATGGGAGGCAGAGGCTGGAGTGAGCTGAGATCGTGCCCCTGCACTCCAGCCTGGGCTACAAGCGAGATTATGTCTCAAAACAAAAGAATAAGCCACAGTGTCTAAGCAGTCTAAATCCTGACTTAGAGCTATGACTGTCCACGGCGTAGAAAATGTATCACATTAGCAAAAAGCAGTTTAGTTGTAGTAAGCAGAGTCATACTTCTCCAAAATCTCTATTTCAGACTAGAGTCTCAGCTACATTTTTGCATATGTAAATATCCATAGTGATGATTTTCCCACTATTGTGATTGTACAAAAAAGGAAGTCAAGTCTACCAGGAAGCTTATTTGCAACTTCATAAATGATGATGTCCTTATGTTCTGCCAGTTTTGCCAAAGTTTCAGGGGTCTTAGTTGCTCAGTCTCTTTTACCACAGGCTGGAGGGTGAGGGGAGGTGGGATGGTGGGACTGGGGACAGGTTCATCACAGACTCCTGAACAGGTAGAGCATCTGTACGGTGGAAACCGTAAATAGGGCAACGGACAGAAAATAAGTGCAACGTATTATTTTTTTAAAGGGAGACTATCCAGAATACGTTACAAAAAATGCCTATGGATCAGTACCCAAAAAAACCTATTTTAAAATAGAACACAAGCCATAAACAAGCAATTCATACAATAAATACAAGGGCCAGGTATGGTGGCTTACGCCTGTAATCCCAGCACTCTGGGAGGCCGAGGCGGGCAGATCACCTGAGGTACGGAGTTTGAGACCAGCCTGGCCAACATGGTGAAACCCTATCTCTTACTAAACCGAAAATACCAAAAATTAGCCAGGCACGATGGGCAGGGCACCTTGGTTAATCCCAGGTACTAGAAGGCTGAGGCCAGAGGAATTATTTGAATCTGGGAGGCAGAGGTTGCAGTGAGCCAGATCGTGCCACTGTACTCCAGCCTGAGGCGACAGTGGAGATTCTGCTCAAAAAAAAAGAAAGAAAAGAAGAAAATACAAATAGTTTACAAGCATGTGCAAAACTTATGTCCTTTTATAGTAACACTATTTTAAAAATAAAAAATATTGAGAAATAAGATTGGTAAATGCGGGCGCGGTGGCTCAGCCTGTAATTCCAGCACTTTGGGAGGGCCCGACGGGCAGATACAACGGTCAGTGAAGATCGAGACCATCCTGGCTAACACGTGGAAAACCCCGTCTCTACTAAAAATACAAAACTTAAATAGCCGGGCGAGGTGGGCAGGCGCCTTGTAGTCCGACTAGCTTATTGGAGACTGAGGCAGGGAGACATGGCGTAACCCGGGAGGCAGGGGAGATCTTGCGCCACTGCACTCCAGGCCTGGAGCGACAGGAGGTTGGAGACTCATGTTCTCATAAAAAAAAAAAAAACAAAGTGGCTGAAATTAAAAAATGAATGAGATATAATTTTTGTCAAAGGACGTCAGAAAACTATTATGGAATTATAAAGTGTACTTCTTTTAGAGGGCAATTTGGTGATTGCTATCAAATTTACAAGGTTCTTTAGGGTTTGAATTTCAAAACCCTGATTAAACTTCCTTAACTTTTCTCCTTAGAAGGCATTTTGGCCTCAAGTCAACAAGCAAAGTAGCAATGTAGGGGGTGGAAAAGCTACCTTGGTCAACACAGGAGGAAAGCTTCCAGTTGCTGAGCAGTTGCCAACACAGATTCAGAGATGGTGGGAGCTCTCCCTGGAGTTGTGTGGGGGCAGTCTACAAAACAATGGCAATTTAGGGCAAGGCAGCTTCCTCAGAGCTCTTACTCGATTACGGGAAGGACTAGAAGCCTGAACTACTGTATGAGTTGATGGGCCCCCGTTTCAGGAGAGGAGGGAGGTATCCCACCCTTCCCACATGTCTCTGGAGCTTTTCTCCTCATTTCTGCTTCAGAGTCTCATAACTAATCATTCTG